AGGCAAGAAAAGCCTGGTCTGCTGGGGGGGAGGAGGGGCACTAGCTGCATCCCCTCCCCCCCCAGCAGACCAGGGAGACGCGGGTGGCGGGACTGCCCGCGTCCTCCACGGCTTTGCTCCCTCTCCCTGGTCTGCTGACCAGGGAGACGGGGAGCAAAGCCGCGGAGCACGCCCGCAGCGGGACAGCCCAGGATCCGTAAGTCGGATCCGTGTAACTCGGGGACTGCCTGTATTAAGAGCCTGGCAGCTCTTAATACATTTAAAAAGCAGAGGTGCAGTGTCTGGGACCAGGCGTGAGCCGGGACAGCTGATTCCTAGCTCTCACTCAGTTCCCCCGCTATGCCTCTGCCTCCTCTGCCCTACCTGTAGAGATGATGCTGGGGAGAACTGGCTTTTAAGCCAGTTTCCTGCCTAGTACCAGCTCCTACCCCCCAACCCCGTTGCTTTCTCTCTCTGATAGAAGCAGCAAAGGCTAGGGGGAAGCAACTAGTCGAGTGCCTGCTTGACTACCCAGTAAGCAGTGCTTATATGGATAGTCAGCTAACCGCTTACAACCCTAGCATTAACTACTAAGCTTTTGTTTAGTGGTTAATCATTTAACCAACCAGACTTACATCCCTAATATGTACTACACCTATCTGAGAGGCAGTAATGTCCATTGGAGAAGTCCTTCTATCGACGTAATGCTGTCTACATTGTGAGGTAGGTTGGTATAATTGCTTTGCTTGGAGGTGAGAGTGATGTAGATACTGAAATGTGAAAGTATAGCTGTGTATATGGTTAACCGATGAGTCTGGGCTCATTGGTTAATTTTCATGGTTATGCGCAAGCTATTGGTCTTCTCCCCCACTCTTTTGCCCCACGGAGCCTCCTGGAGCTTCAGCAGTTACATGGTTGGTTACTTAAATGTGTTTTAGCATCCCTAGTAGTTATACTTAAGTTTGTAGTGTTAACTAGGGCCACAGTGGAATGTTCCCAAGAAACAAATTAACAACTCTGTTCTGAACATTGAGATCTTTAACAACATGTAGTTAGGATTTCAGTTTTAAATTACATCTGAAAGACTGCAATTTATTTGGAGGCACATAATTAGATACTGTATGTTGAGTTTAAAGTTCAGTAGTTGAAAGGGATAATACAGGTTAGACCTCTCTCGTTCAGCACCCTCAGAATCTGACTGATCCTGAATGATGGATTTTGCTGGACTTTAATAATGGATTCTTCTGGTCTCCCAACCATGGCCCTGGCCACACCCCCTGCAACCTGGCAGCCCAGCTGCCCTGCGTGCCCACAGAGCCTCCAGCCACCAGCCCTCCGCTGGAACTCCCTGGTCCAGAAGCATTTATGGTTTTGTTGTGGGGCCAGAGTGTTCCAGTTTAGAGAGATTCAACCTGTACAATCAAATCTTTAGAGCAGCATTATGCTAGGACAGGTGATAAGAGAATATTGTGATTTTGTTTGTTTTAAAATATAATGTAAATGTCATATGACCATTATAGGAGAGGATACTGCCTCTGTTTTACCAGCATGCTTGCCAAAGGTTTGCTCGTAAGTTTAAAAAGCTGCTTATTTGCTGTAGCATGAAGCTTAGAGTTGTGGCATTTGAAAATACCACTACAGTTTCATAGCTCTGTACATGGTATTTAAATACACATACTGAATTTGCTGTCAGTCCTAAATGACTGATCCATGCTGTTCCAGCCATGTAGTTCTGAGTGCCATTTAATTAACTTTTAAAACTTTTACAACATCCTCTTTACACACATTGATGTGGAGATTTTTATTTCACTGTAGCATCCATACAGTCTATTCAGAACTAAGGATGTTAAATTTTGATTGATCAGCTCATCAAGTAGTCGATGGAATTTCCCGCTGTGCCTCTCCCATTGAAATGTACAATGGCTCCTGTACATTTCAAAGGGAGAGGAGCAGCCGTGGGACCAGCCCAGGACTGTTTCAATCCCTGCTCGTGCTGTTGCTCTCTGCCCCCTGCAGAGGTGGTGGTGGGGGCACCGGCTTTTAAGCTGGCTCCCCCCAGCACCGGCTTGTGCTCCCCTTCCCTCCACCTCCCTCTCATTTGCTTATCAGTAGTTGTCTAGTAGCTTACATCTCTATTCAGAACAGTACACAACTTGAACATCAGGAACTAAATTCTCTTGTTTTTACCCGGGCAAAGATACACTAGTATACACCCATGTAAAGACAGGCATGTTACAATTTTTTATTGTCATAGTTAAATGTTAGGGCAGAAACCTACACTTCACACAAGCCAGTCAATACTGAATTATGTTTACATCAGATATTTTGGAATAGCTCTTGAGAGCTATCATGACAAAACATGGTAGCAGTAACTGCAAATGCTGATTACGAAGAACATCACTTTGTATAAATGATTGTCCTGTGCTTTAATATAGTACTTAGCCAGGAGTCTGAGGTACAAGCTGAATTCTGGGGTGTCTACCAAGCACTGCTGGCATTAGATTTGCTGGGGCCCAGGAAAGAATACTGAAGCCTAAACCTGAGCAACTTAGATTCATGGGGCACTCTGTGATATTATGGGGCCCTGGGCAGTTTCCGTGCTTTCTACCCCTAATGCTGGTCCTGGCTTCTATATGTAGAAAAACTGTTGTGGCACATGTGGGCCTTGGAGTTTTTTCAGCATGTTGGGGCCACAGAAGCAAAAGATTGAGCAACTCTGCTTTAATAAATATCTTATCTCTTACAGGTAACATTCCTTGAAGAAGTTACTGAGTATTATATAAGCAGTGAGGAAGACCGCAAAGGACCCTGGGAAGAACTTGCACGGGATGGATGCAGGTTCCAGAAACGAATTCAAGAAACAGAAGATGCTATTGGATACTGCTTAACCATAGAGCATAGACAGACGATATTTAATAGACTTCAGGAAAAATACTATAAAATCCTTGATGTTTTCTAGCCCCCAAATTTGGTAGCCCTGTGACTGTACTGTTCAGTAATAAACTCAGGAACATCTTCAGATGTTTCTTCCTCTTAAAATTAAAACTGGCAGCTGACTGTATAGGTTTGTATCTGGAGGCTAAACATAACTTTAATACTGCTCCAAAATTTAATGTTTATCCAAGGAAATATGCCTTATTATGCCCAGAATTGGTATGAAAACAGAAAACAAATCTCTTGGTCACTTGAAAAATAAGTGGTATAATTATATTGGTTTTAAAGTAGATTGTATTCAACTATTGAGGTAAAATCCAATCCATAAATGCCTGTCTGCGCCATATGAAGGAAAAGGGAGGCTTATTAGGTTGGAATTTTTGCACTTTGGAGAAAACAAGAGTCTGAAATATTTATAGGGTTCAAAACCCAATGATTACAGTTCTGATTTAAAGTTTGTATTTCAACAGTTGAATTGTCTTTTTCCAATTTCTGTAAAACAAATTTGGTATTTTGCTTGGTAATTATAATTAAGTCCTCCATCTTCTTGATTTCGGTTTTCCTTATAAGATTTTCTTTGTTACATAAGTCTTTTGATTATGTATTTAAATATTTTGATCTAAAGCAGAATTTCAAGAGAGCTGAAAAGTGACACCGTCTTTGTTCAACTATTTTCATAGTATAAAATTCTTGCCTGGTACTTAGTAAAACTAGTTGTGCACTAGGCTCATGTTTCAGAACTCTGGAAAGCTCTGAACCCTGATTAGTACGTGCAACATGTAATACATTTGCTGATGTTGAAGGTGACCATTCTGCTGCTAGACTATATCATGGGCAAGCAACTGTCTGTTATGCTTTAGTTTTCACTTTGACAACTTGTGGCATTTGACCTACAAAGGACAGTGAAAAGTTGAATTTTACATTAGGTTCTTGATGTTTTGAGCCAAGTTATCAAGCTCTAAAGCTACACCCCAGTACAGTACATACTTTCTTTACAGAAAACCAGTATTAAAACCACCATGCCTCAGTACTTTTTTAATTAGCTGATAGTGTAACATTGTATACATGGAAGCTGACAGTTAATGTCTCCACTTGAAAAATAGTTAAGCTTACTATTTCAATCAGTAGCTATTTATTCCTTTAAATTAGTATCTAAATGTGCTGGCAAAAGTGAAGTATGTTGAGTGGCTCTTTCCAAACACAAAGATGTCGTGATGCAGATTAAACTTGAAATATGAGGCTATTAAAAAAATCTGTGTAAACCAGACTACATCGGTAGCTGATGTGTACTTCATTTATTTTATTCTGTGACAATGTACAGTTGCTATAGAACTGGCTCAGCAAAATGTTCAAATAATTTAGACGTAGTCTGTATTAAGGAGATGTAACTTCATTTGATGTGAAGGAAAGCTGTTTACACACTAAGTGAAGACTTCACCTAAGGTTATCGGCATTCATTTCCTTGACACGCAATTCAAAGCTTTGACATTGTAGATTCAAAGTCTTCTAGTCTTAATTTCAAAATCTGCCAGGTCTTGTGCTATAATTGTCTTGATGTACAATTTCAGAAATGCTTCCTGACTTTCTCAAACTAATTGTCTTGAATACATCTTTTCAGTAAAGAGAAATCTTTCTTTATTTTAATGAAGTTGAATAATGCCCAGAGGCAGTAAATGCTGTCTTCAAGTAAAATTAAAGGTATTCTTTTATTGTAGACCTTATCTGAAAAGTTTGGTTGTAAAATTGGCTATACAAAAACTAGACACCAACTTTGTTTTAATTCTTGTTGAGCCAGCCTTTTGCTGCAAATTGTCTTAAATTACTCTGTCCTAGTGACACTTCCCCTGATCCCCTTCGTGGTAGAATTTGAATATTTCAGCTTCTTAGCAATTCAAGAAGTGCTCTCAAGTCAAATCTAAACCAAAAATTTGGTTATGTAAAATGTTAGCTAGTAGAACTGCTTCCATGATTTTAAAAAAAATCCAATGGCAACAACTCTTTAAAAAATATTTCCTACAGTGCTTGCAAGGCAAATAGTGTGACAGTGAGGTGGTCTTGTGATTGAAGCACACGGTGTTCAGTTTTTCCAGTTCTGCCAGTCTCCCTCTAGCTTCAGACAAGTCATTTTTGCATCAGTTTCCCTGTAAAATTGAAAGGGCTCCCCACCTCTCAATGATTGTGTGAAGTTTGAATTAATTATTACTTGTGTTTTGAGATCATGCAAAAGACAGCATTATAGAAATACAAATATTGGTTCAATAATAACTAGAAAAGAACTAAAAAGTGAAGCTAATGGATTTTCATTGTCTTCAATCAAGTAAAATTAAATTAGACTAACATTCTATCCATTTTTTAAAATTTTAAGCTTTTTTTTTCAATATGTAAGGATTCTGCTACATTGGTGGCATCTGTCTTTTCCCTTACATCATCTTAACCTCAGTAATCATTTTCTTTCAGGTATATAACTGCATGGTTAAGCATTTCTAACAAAATTGCTGTCCCTTTCAAACCATCATGTGGAAAGAGGGGAATTCTGGCACTGAACTCAGTCCCAAATGATAAAATCACTTAAGCAAAAGCAAACCAATTTTATTCTTAATTTCTCTTTCCTTTCCCTAAAACAGATATCTGGAGTAGGTAAAAGGTTGTGTCTTGTGTTTTAAGAACACCTGTTAGCATTAAACTTTAAATCAAAACTGTAATTATCAGATTTTATTTTTATATAATTTGAGAGGTAAAGTTAGAAGCCTGACAACCTTCTAAATTGGCTTTATACAGATATTAATTTGTATCCAATTTGTTGGGTTTTTATATCTAAAGTTATATTTCTGTATATAATAAAATTATTCAGAACTAATCTGTAAATTGAAATAAAGATATTTGCAAGATAGTGCCAAGTTGTTTGTCTTTGAAGGATTTTACATGAGGTATGTGGTGATGATCTGCAAATCAGAGTCTGCTAGACATCTATATATACTGTAAACTTTTTTCAGACAGTAATGGTGGGCCAGTTAAAAACTAATTGTGTATAGAATTTTGATGCACAACTGTTGTAAAGGAGAAATACAGTGCTTTGTTTTCCTTAACAAGCTTGTTTTGTTAGATATGTGAGCAGTTTTATGCTGCTATTTCTTAAACTAAGATGCTGTGGATTTGTTTGGAGGTTGGAGAGTGCTTAGGGAAAACAAAGTGATGTAAAGGTATCAATGACTGAGAAATTGGCAATCCTCACTCCAAATTAGTAACTGGTGGCAAGGGATCCTCTGTAGCTGAAATGTCTCTTTTGGCAAAGACAAAGTTTAAGGTCTAGGCTACATGCACTCAAGGTCTTGTGCCCCTTTTTGGAACAGTAGGGATTTAATCTTGATCAGATTTCCATTTGGAAAGTATATTGTCTGCTAAAATTCCCCTTGTAGTGGATACTGGATATCGTATACTTACTTCCCTAGTCAAAATATATATAGTGTTTATAGTCATTTCACTATTACAACACATAGAGATTAAAATATCTTGGGATCTTAAAAACAAACCAGAAAAACCTTGTTCTTTCCCCTCCTCTCATGGAATTTATTACATGAGCATTGTTTTGTTTCGTGGGCTAAACATCTAATGCTGCTTTCAATTAGAATAACGTAAGTTTTCCACGTGTTGCTCTCTGGCATCACTGTCTAAATCAGGGGTCTCAAAACCCCAGACCACGGGACATCTGTAGCCTGAGCACTTCCCCAATCTGTCCCATGTTCTATTATACTATGAAATAGTTTGAAAGTTATTTAAGCAGGCCAGTGCAGCTGCTGGCCTGGGGAAGGAGGAGCAGGGGTGCAGAGAAACTCATTTGAACACACAGCTCCCAGCAGCCACATAGTCATGACTGTAGAAGGTCTTGGAAGGCTTGCTATCTGCCTCTGCCACAATGTGAACCACAATGGCCAGGGAGCTACCTGAGCTAATAGGCTGCTACAACCAGTGCGGCAAAGCCCGTGGGTTTCATTTTGTTATCCCAGGTGGAGGTGGGGGATCCCAGTATGGGGATGTGGTTGGGGCTTTGCAGGAAAAAAATGTATCAGGAGGTTTGTGATCAAATCAGGAGAACTGGCATTGCTGATCTCTAGCTAGTTTCACAAAATCAGTTAATAGTTTCACAGCTTACACCTACAGACAGGGTGGCTCTGCACACGCCTCCCCCGGGCTACAGGGTGTGCTAGTGGTATAGAGCTATCAGCTCAGCTGGAAGTCATTCTAGCCCTACTGTGGTGGCAGGGGCCCTTGGCAGGTTTTAAATCTCCTGAGGGCATCAGGCAAGACTAGGTGAGGGTGGGTGCGTGCAGGCTAGCAGATGGGGCCAGGAGCCAGGCAGAGTGGGAATGCGTGAAGGACCCCTCCTGGAGCCATTGCCAGAAGGAATGCCCACTGGCCTGCTAGGTTGGCCAGTGCCAGTCCTCAAATCCTCCTAAGGTAAATTGAACTTGAGGTCCCTGATCTATGTTGTTTGTTTTCTTATTTCTGTATGTTTCACCAGCTGTAATAGATTGTGAATGTGTAGTAAGTGGTACAGAACAGCAGGTGCACAGATCCAGAGGGTGCCTAGGTGCAATGGAGACCTAATCCATGGTACTACCAGCCCATGTCACAGGAAATGGGAAGCCAGTTGACAATGTTATAAAAGTGGGGGGGAGGGAGGACCCACGATGCATCAAAATGCAATGCTATATTGAGTATATTTGAATGTACATTATGCCTTTTTAAGCAAGTGTTCGTGAAGGTGGCAGTGCAAAAATCACAACTTTGTACAGAGGTCACCATTGGCAGCAGACTGCAATATACAAAATCAGAGGTGATGTAGCTACTGTAAATTGTGCATCAGATTTGGGATTTCCAATATTTTGTGAATGGAAGCTTTACTTGTTAATTGAATTAAGAGACTCCCTTCTTGAAAACAGTACACAACTGGTCAATGTAACATAGGAAGGATGTAGTTTTAGAGACACAGCAGCATAAGATGCTAAAGATAGTATGTCTGAATAGATTGTTGTGAGGAGTGGTTTAAAAATTGTTGGGGTTTTTACTCAGTAAAATGTCTAAAGGGTTTATATGACTGATTCAGCTGTTTGCATTAAAGGTTTCAAATAACTACCATTTCTGCGGAATAGTGATAGAAATGTTCATTTTTTTGGTTGTGTCCTTTGGTGTATATGGTTGTGACTGCTTTCTTCCACTGTTTGATCTGGGGAGGTGGGTCTGGCCCACGGGGGCTCGTCATCTAATAAACCATCTTGTTAGTCTTTAAAGTGCTACATTGTCCTGCATTTTGCTTCAGCTACCATTTCTGCATTATCTCTTAGAAAGAGGGAAGTTAGCCCTCACTGCTTCATGCAAAGAATAGTAATACTCATTTGGAATGTGTTGTGAGGGAAACACCAAACCGAACAGTAGCAATAAGATGAGGAAGCAGATTTCTGTGCCTGTAAGAGGACAAGCCTGAGGTTACAGTACAAGTAAAAATTTTCATGATGACTTTCATTATCAGTTGCTTTTCTGATCTTCCAGATGAGAGCACCATCTGTTGGTATGCAGTGTGTCTTGGTAAGCAGATCTCTTCATAGTGCTGATTAATATTTGCGGCTGGTGCAGCTGTATCAGCTGTAATAACCATTTTATTATGTGCACTTTTCAGTAATTGGAAAACTGGCAGGTGTGAATAGGGAGATGGGGCAGGTCTGTGTGCACTAGAGCTTTAAACAGGTAGATGCTCTGCACTTCATTGCCATCTAGTGGTCAGCTGTTTTTCAGCATGCATCCATTCTTAGTAAACATGTCCTGCTTGGAGCTAATGTCATCTGGTGCACTTGGTGCTTTCCCTGCCAGGCTCTGCAGTCTGCAGACAATGGAACCTTCAGTATCTAGCCTTGATGGGCATTCAGTCAATTGCACTGCTCAATTAGTTGACAATTCCTACCAATCAAAATGGCTTTGTCTACTGTTTCGGAGGGGGTTGGTGGTTTTGGAAAATGGACCTTTCAATGGTGGTTCTAGAGGAAGTATTCAGAAGACCGTAAATTTGAAAAATGTGACTCGATTTTCAATTTCAAGTCAGTGGCAACAAATGCAAGCAATCAAAGGTGTTGGCTAGGGTGAGGCATTACTGAGACACACTGGCTGTGTCTAGACTGGCAAGTTTTTCCGCAAAAACTTGCCAGCTGTCTACGCTGGCCACTTGAATTTCCCAAGAACACTGACTTCCTACTGTCTGAAATCAGTGCTTCTTGCGGAAATACTATGCTGCTCCCGTTGGGGCAAAAGTCCTTTTGCGCAAAAGGGCCAGCATAGACAGCTCAGATTTGTTTTGCGCAAAAAAGCCTCGATTGCGAATATAGCGATCGGGGCTTTTTTGCGGAAAAGCGTCCATGCCAATCTAGATGCTCTTTTCCACAAATGCTTTTAACGGAAAACTTTTCTGTTAAAAGAATTTGCGGAAAATCATGCCAGTCTAGACGTAGCCACTGTGCTTATTTTCCCTCACACAGTCAATGCACCTGGGTCTGAACCCACAGCTCTCCTAGCTCTCTTTTGAACCAAGTTTGCCCAACTTGTTTCCATAACAATGGCTTAGAAAGGAAATTATAATACTAGGCAATGAGAGATCCTGTACAGTTTGTTGAAGCCCATAGAAATAATACCCAAGTTAATCACTAATAACTGATCAGTTGTCTAAAAGCTCTTTTCTCCACATATTCTTACAATGAACAATCTTTTTAAAAAAGCTGTTTTGACGCCTTTCTCAAATGTTTCTAAGATCTGTCCTATGGTGAGAATAATGAATAAAAATAAACACTGCAGGGTACCCTATTTAGTTGAATACAAAATTCAATCAGGTCACAAATTAAAGCTCTTTTCCCCCCCTCTTGTCTGCCAGCACAGAATGTGAAAATCTTATTGATTTTTTGCTTTTTATTCTACTCATAGAATCATAGATCTGGAAGAGACCTCAGAAGATCATCAAGTCCAGCCCTCTGCTCTAGGCAGGACCAGTCCCAACTAAATCAACCTGGTAAGGGCTTTGTCAAGCCAAAACTTAAACACCTCTAGGGATGGAGACTCCACTACTTCCTTAGGTAACCCATTCCAGTGCTTCACTACCCTCCTAGTGAAATAGTTTTTCCTAATATCCAACCTGGACCTCTCCCACCACAACTTGAGACCCTTGCTCCTTGTTCTGCCATCTGTCACTACTGAGAACAGCCTTTCTCCATCCTCTTTGGAACCTCTCTTCAGGAAGCTGAAGGCTGCTATCAAATCCCCCCTCACTCTTCTATCAAATCCCCCCTCACTGTTACTAAAGAGTCTGCCATTTTCATTTAGTTGATGTGTTAGGCAGAATACAACTTCTTTTGCTGTTCTGTATCATCTGCAAAGGCCTAAGAGGAGTTATGTACTGACCAATAAGTTAAGCATCTGAATAATGATCACACGGTGAAGTGAGTAAATAGGCCTGCTGCTATTGTGAGTCAGCTCTACTACCATCAAATTCCATTTATGGATTGCTTTAATATTACTACATGCCCTACCAAGCACAGGTTTCCTCAGAAAATCCCCCATGTGGATAGAGGAAGGGGGAATGCACGACTAATCCTAATGAGTAGAATTCAGGAGAAGTTCCATTGGCACCTTTTGTCCACACTGTAGAACTGTTCAGTTATTACTGTGAAAGGAGTTCAGGTTACATCAGCTCCTGGCTGGCTGTTTTGCCAACTGGGAGACAACTTAAAAAAGTAAAAGCTGGCCATTTCCCTGGAGGGAAAGGAGCACAAGAAACCATTAGTAGCCAGCATCCATCTGTTAGTGCTGCCTGATGCCAGAGCGCATAATGACAGGTCTGTTGGTAACCAAAAC